AGGAACTTTTGAGCAAAGAATTTTGTCGAAAGTTTTCCTCTTGGTTCAACCATGCAACTGTGGACTAAAAGTTTTAAAAAAGTTCGTTTGCTCAGAACTATTTATTCGGAAGTTATGATAAGGTTGCCACGAAGACCTAAAGTCTTGAAGCCTCAGCGAAATATTTTTCACGTATACTAAAAACTAGCGTACATAAACTGATAGCGCAATGGCTCAGTTGGTTCAATCGCAGGTATGTAAAACAAAGTGTCGCATATTCGCTTCTACCTATATTCTATACTTTATATACCTATACTAACCTAAAACCGTCCGTTCTTTCATTTAGACTAGTCCAGACGTCGTCAGTATATAGCTTGGCAGACTAGTCGCAACGGTGCGGACGGTTTTCTTTTAATTAACCGTTAAAATTCTGGACTAGTCATGACGGGGTCGTTGTTGGCGTAAAGACTAGTCGGGACGGTCGTCTGGACTAGGAAAAAAGACTAGTCATTTCACCCGTCTTTTGCTTACCTGAGTAGAAATTTTTCAGATTAGCCATTTTCTACAATACTGGTGTGAAGCATCTATAGTGCTCTGAGTGTTGTTACGTAAAAGAGCCATAGCTTCGTGGTACTGAGTACCCAAAGGAACAGTAAATAATATGCCTAAGTGGAAAGCATAAAAATGATTTATGTAAGCAAAAATAACTTTCGCTAAATCATCAATGTAAAGAATAAATAAAGTGGGAGAAGTGTGCACTTTTCATTGTTTTTAGTTCTTTTCTGGAAAAAAAGAACTAAAAACAATGAAATATAATTTATACTGGCTTTAGATATCATGTGACATATTAAGTTAACGATTAATTTTATTTTTCTGCGGAACAAATTCCTCCTACTCGACAAAATCAAGCTTTCTTATTGAATAGCGTGCGATAATGAGATGCAACAATAGTATTGCATGCTTCTATATTCAGATATAATTAATAATTTCGTTCGAAGAATAATCTCTATTAGTACATTTTTATTTCTATTATTATTTTACTTTTTGGAGACAAAAAAAACATGATAGTAGCAACAGCAGCAACAATGTTTGAGAGTGATGATGATGAAGAACTAAATAATTTACGATTTTTCGATATTGGTCATGTAACACATGAGGATGAGAAGTCGTCGCTCATCATTGACTGTCTTAATTCACCATTAGCATCATTTGAAGAAGCTTGTAAACCTTTGGAAAATTTAATTGATAATATTCAAACAAAAGTCTACATCATCAGGCAGCAACAACAAATGGGTAATCATAATTGCGTTTGTCTCGTGCCAGATGAATCTGCAGCCATTCAATTGTATACGTGGGAATGGTCACCCCATTCAACATGTATCTATTTTATCCTTAATGAAACACTTCGGCATCCATTAGCAAACTCGGTACTATGGTATTCGTATTTAAAATTATTATTAACTGCAATTGATAAATTACCTCCGATCGAACGTTGTACACTCTATCGTGGCATACGATTATGTGATCTATCCGGTGAATATGAAGATGATAAAGTGTACACATGGTGGAATATCACTTCGTGTCTACAATCACAAGAACAAATGACATCAAGAATATTTTTAGGTACGCATGGTACACGTACACTATTTCAAATTGATTGTTATAGTGGGAAAAAAAATCCATTGTCGCAAGATGGTGATGAGGTGATACTAATGCCCGGTTTTCATTTTCAAGTTATTGGTAAATTACGATCATTAGACGAGTTAAATACGATTTATATACGTGAAATAGAACCATCATCACTTACACTCATAAAACCACCAATAATTGCTACTACAGCCATAGCAGTTGAGGAAGAACCATCTTTGGCACCAGAAGAAGTTAAAAAAAAACATCGACGTAAATCAACACTAACAAAAACGAAAAAAACTTTTAAAAGTACGGCTCTTCGATTAATAGAAATGTCGAAACTGTCAAATGAGTGTGCTGATCATATTCTTGAATTCTCAAATAAAAAATTATCCATTGATGAGTTAAACCTGTCTCTAAATGAACGATTGACACAAAAAATAACTATATTAAATTTATCAAATACAAATTTAATAAAAGAAAAGGTAAAAATTATTGCTGACATGTTAAAAACAAATCAAACTCTTGATGAACTTAATTTAAGTTATAATTCGTTGGGTAATGCCGGTTGTATTCTAATCGCTCAAGCATTGTATCATAATCAACATTTAAAAAATTTATCTTTATACAATACAAAAATTTCAAGCGATAGTAGTTGTTATCTCGGTGAAATGTTAGCCGTAAATAAACGACTTCGTTCTCTACATCTTGGTGTTAATTCATTGGGTAATTTGGGTGTAAAATATTTATTTATCGAAGGAAGTAATATACAGTTACATTATTTGAATTTATGTTGTAACAGAATTGATCATGAAGGTTGTCAATATTTGGTAAAAATGTTAGCTAGAAATGAAACCCTCACATATTTCGATATTGGTGGTAATGCAATTAAAGATCGAGGAGTTCAAGAGATTTGTAATAGTTTGTTGAATAATCAAACATTAACAGAATTACACATGTGGCATTGTCAAATTACCGACAGTAATGCAATAGGCGATTTATTAAAATCAAATTTAACGTTAGTCGAATTGGATTTAGAGGGAAACCATATAACCGATAACGGCGGGATGATAATAGCAGATATTTTATTATCGACAACGATAAAAAGTAAAACATTGAAACTACTGAATTTATCGCATAACAAAATAACAGATAAATGTACAAAACGGTTAATAACAATAACTGATTTAACTGTAGTCGTCTAATTAAACTAAACTAAATTTGCGTAGATTATCCACAAGTAACGTTCACCTTCGATTCACTTTTCCTTTACTAAAACACGCATTATTCTCGACAGAATGTTACTAACAGAAAGAATTGAAACATGTCATCAGTGCATATCTGCATATATATTCAGCATTAACAGAGTAGATTGAACAAATTCAATCATTTTGTCACTAAAACTATCGTTTAGACCAAATTCGAAGTTATTAGCTCCACTCATAAAGTTTCTTAAGAAATTCATGATGAGTTTTCCTTTAACCGTACTCGATTATTATGAGTGCACTTTCACCACACCAAACAGCAACAAAGACCTGGACGAATAGACTTGGAAGTTATTAATATAGATCTTATTACATTAGCTTATTACATGCGCCTTTCATTGCGTTAGAATCCTCTCTAAAAAAAAATAGGTTTATTACGAAACCCAAAAGGATATAGATAAGTGCAACCATTTTGAAATCGTTTTAAGTTTCGTATGAACCCCTTTTAGATTTCGTACTTCGACTTCCAAATGGTTGCACTTATCTATACCCTTTTGGGTTTCGTAATAAACCTATTTTTTTTGAGAGTAGTACTGGCAAGTGTCTGAATGAATAAACAGAAATACATCATAGTTTTGTACAGGTTTGATGCGATTCTTCCTTTAGAGGTCGGTTAGAAAATTTCTTCTTTAGGGCAGTACATGCTTGTTTGTTGTTATTTTTTAAATCTCTTTTTAGCTCTATTAATTTTAATGTTTTGTTTATTTTCATTCTGTACCATTCCCATATAATCAAATTTGAACATGGTAAGTTGACAATCGTGTCCGATGGGAAAACAGATATTTGCCTACTCATTAATCACGTATTGGTTGCCAGGACGCAAATTTTGTACAGAGAAAGAAGTGCTTTCAGTGCATGAGATTATATTTTATTTATCTTTTTTGCAGAAAAAAACGCAAACGTATACAGCTACCGGAGGGACCCCTCCGCAGTCAGACAAGTTCTGATTTCACACATAAATATAAAATAGATTGGTTCGCAAATATCCCATAGAGATGCACTTGTTATGACGAGAACTGGTGTGCCACATTTAGAACAACGTCTCATATCAACGTTCGTAGATCAGTTACGTAATTTTCATGATCGAAATCGGCATGTACAAGATGCTTTAATTACTAATCGATATTCTTATATCACTCAAACAGATTTCGGTGTACAACAACCATCTAGTGTCTACCATGATTTAGTATATTTATTTATGAATCATACTAATCACAATCAAGATGAATCTAAGGAACGACTATCGGAACCTTGCTATCGTGATACTTTTTCCTTTGGAATTGACTTAAAGAAAACGAAAAAATATCTTTTTTAAAGAATTTATTTATTCGCCCATGAGCTACGTACTATGTCACTTCTCAACTCTTCACTATAAACATATCGTCTCCCTCAAGAAATATCATCAGGTGACTCACTGTCACGTCTTATGCTCTTCCTCGCTGTGGTCGTCGATAATCCCGCTGTGGCAATCCTCATATACCGTTCGATAGAAAATTTCACGGACTACAAAGTGCTAAAAAAGCCAACTTTATCCAGACTTTGCTGTTTTTCAACCTTTTTACTAAATTTCAACCAATTTTCTAAACAAAAGCCCTACTCCCAACGCTTCCACTAACATTTTCCTCTATCC